ACTTAGTAACTGCAAACGTTTACAGGGAATGCAGTAGCAGAAAGAGCAGTGAAGTCCATTCCCTAAGCCATTGCCAGTTCAGAAGCATGGCAGTTCAACAAGGTATGGAGCTGCTAAGCCTTGTGTAGCAAATTTAGTTTCCTAGCTTGTTCTGGTGCAGAAATTTCAGCAAAGGTGGGCTCTCTGGTGGGCAGGGTTAAGTGTACATAACGGTCTCTTTAGCCTAGTAAATCCGTCATATGGAACTGGTGACTGATAAAATAAGCATAGCCAGCAAAGCACGCTGGAGAGATGGGCGACTTGCACTCCCACATTAACTGACTGGTTGAAATAGCAGTTTTGTTTTCATTCCTCCCACAGATTAGTGGCTAAAAAACTCTCTACCCCTCAATAGTAAAAAACCAAAATGTGCATAAAGCAAGGATTTACAAAATGTTTACAACATGTACTGTGGCCTTTCTGACAAATAGTTTAATTCCCAGCAAATGTACAAGACAGTCTGCCTTTAGGTGGTGGAGCTAGTTGTGGTCATTCAGGATCTTCTTTGTCTAAGCAAACTTATTGTTTGTACCCAGCTCCACTGGGGGAATTAACAGGAAACAAATTCAGCAACCAGTAGCATATTGCCCAGAGCAACATCTGTGCCCGAAGCTGCTTACTGTAATACTAAACAGTACAAATTTGTTGATTTGGTAACACAATGTCAAATAGTAAATCTGGATCAGATGTTGCATATATCCAAGATCAAGCATTTCTGAGTCAAAGCCTTCAACTCCATTAAAAAGGAAATAGGCCTTAATTCTAATCTTGATATAGCGGTGTTAGTGTGGAGTTACTTTACTGATTACATCATCTTTATTAAATGGTAACTGAGATGGTGGAGGTATGTCAGCCTAAGCTCTAACTGGTCTTAGTTAATTTTTCTACCAACTCAAGTCAGCCTTGTAATTGCTTAGGAAAGACTGGAGGTGCACAGAATTCATCATGGCACTGTTCCCTTGCAAAGGAAATCTGTAAGCTGACCACATTTGAAAAGCATACAGCCATCTGCAGACTGAGGAATGTTGAAAGAAGGCTAGTAAAGATGTAAAGACAAAGCAAGTACACATAAATATGAATTTTATTGCTAACAGTATTTTGCTATAAATCAATAATGAGAATGAGGACATAATAAAACAGCAGTTAAGACAGAGCGTGCATAAAAACATGAAGGATTGGGGTGGGAAGACATTTGCTGCATCCTACCCTTCCATGATTTACACATATACATCTTAGTCATATTATGGGGAGGAAAAGCCATACACACATTTGAGGAATTACAGATTTCTGCTTTACTCATCTTACTTAGCTGTTTCCATCACGTACTGAATCTTCAGTGGAAAGCAAACTAAATGAAGCCAGTTTTGTGTGACATTTTAGCTCCATCTAGACACAGCTCAGAACATGCTTCAGCATTAGAAAAGATGTGTCTTTGCCAGAAGTCAGCTGTTGCTTTATACAGAAATACTTCACAACTCCTCTCCTCCAGTCCATAAGCCTTTACCCACTCACTAGAAGAGGCAGGCTCCCTAACCCCCATATTCCAAGCAAAAGAAGCCAACAGCTGTGTTTTTACCTGTAACTAAGAATTTGGGAGGGGGCTGTGGTTCACCGCTTTTTTATTGTGGGATTTACCAGAAGGCTGAGCTTTTCCACCCCACTCTCTGGATGCCTGGCTCTGTCCAGCTGTCCCTGAGATTCTGAAAGTAACTGGTCACAGATGAGCATATCTGTAAGCAATGCCATTTAATTCTGAATGAATGGACTGCTATACAATAACTGATAATGTACACTGTAAAAACATTGTCACTGTAGTGGCTGTGGACCTCCCATAGCATTAGAGAGGTCAAGTATTGGGCCCCAGTAGGAAAGCATGTGCTTGGGTGCTCTGCAGGTATAACTGGAGTCACTGCATCATGAATAGCACTGCAGAGAAACAAACCCCTCTTTAGGACTATTATTTAAATCTGTTTTGAAAATGATCCGGCTGCACTCACTGCCTCTTCCCATCACTATGGTATCACCTCTCTGCAGGTGCTGGCATGGCAGTCCCTCCAAGCCCTGAAATCCACTCTGGCCCTGCTCCTTCAGCTCACACCAACATGCACCTACACAAACTGCAGAAGTACTGCACTGGTCAGAGAAAGGCTATTGAGTCTTGACTGTGTATCCAGCCTGACTTTACTATACATGTGACCAAGCCTCCACTCTGCTCCTGAGCAACAGGAGTCATGTCTTCAGGAAGCAAGTCTAGGAGCTTCAGCAACCAGTGAATTCCGGTGGCTATCCCCATGCTGCTGCTTTGTGCACCAAGACATTTCCACTTCTGTTTCTGCAGTGAGATCAGAAAGGCTACAAGCACCTGCAAGATAACTCCTCTCTTGATTTTATGCTCTAGTACAATTGTATACGTTTTCTTTTTAACTTCTAAATACCTATGCTACCAGGAGAGAAAAGTAGCTCGTGTTTCTTTATAAAAGCAGCATTTTGTTACCAAGAGAGAACTAGAATCTTCAGCTTCAATTTTACTTTTTTTTCCCCTCGAGAAGGGCTAAGGTTACATTTTAAATGAAGACTTACATGTGAACTTCTAAAAAGATTATTTCTTGCATTTAATTCAACCTAGCAATGTTTTGCAATCAGCAGTTTTTATCTTGTATACTTCACTCGAAGAAACTAAGTACCTAGATACAGTTATCTCCTGGAAATGCAAGAAACATGTTCCCCTGTTCTGTTAAACAGCCTTGCAAAAAATAAGAAACAACCCCCCCCCCCACACACACACTAAAACTCTTGAACTTAAATTACTAGCTGATTCACTTTGTGCTATTATTTCACAATTATGAAATTGAAGAGAAATCACAATGATGTTAAATTGTTTTATTCTCCCTGACCTATTACAAGCTAATTATCACACAGGGAGAAGAGGAGATGGAGGTATTCTGTAGAACTAGTTATATTGCGAAGTGTAAACTAAAGAGCAGTGTAAACTTGTGATGAGCTTCAGGGTTATCTCAAGGCTTAAAAAGGGTAGAAATATATCACTTAAGTTCCAGAAAGTCACCATCTCTTCCTGACCTTAAGGGTACCAGGATTCTAAAAGAACAGAAAAGTACTCTACTCCAATTTATTTTGGTTTGGACTAGCAAGAGGAAACTTACGCTTCAGTCCTCTTTTGAACCTCCAGGTCCCTTCAGTACATAGCACTGGCAGAACATACAAAGCTTGTATTGATCCCTGAAAGGACATGCATACACACTGGTGTACGGCTTCAAGCCAGTGTTTCTTGAAAGAAGTCTACATTCCCTGCAATAGACCCACTCTTAGAAATGCAGTCAAGGTTACAGCTGTTTACTTCTGATTAATTGAGTTTGTTGAGTTGGTCCTAAGAGTCATGGAAAGTTTAGTGCTTCCCCTGGCTGCTACCCAAACTTGTCCAGACCTCTACTGCTTAAATCTGTAGGATAGAGCCAGGACAGTTTTAGGATTACATGAAAAAGGTTGGGGCTTGATCTAAATTTATATAGGTGTGATTTATCATCTATTTTCATCTTCTCTGACATACCTGACACCCCATGAACCTTAAGGAAATTAACCTACTTCTGAATGAAAGCATAAGAAAGACTTAACATAATAAACCAGCATGAAATACAGGAAGCTGCAAGTGGAAGTATAAAAATAAGTCCTCTTACTATAAAGAACTCAGCTTAGGCACCCTGCCTCTTCTACCTGAATAAGAAAGCACGTGTGTTTCTTCAGACCTCTTTTTCCCCTGCCAAGCATGGATTACAAGAAGGTAAGGTAGCTGGAGGCATAACACATGGAACGGTTGCACTCCAGGCATAGCACAGCAACCTGCAGGAGCACATTCTGTAAGGAACCAGAGATACAAGCAGAGACAGCCAGGTTCCTTGGAGTATTTTCCTTAACAAGTCATGAAGGGATGAAACCTGCTGAATGTGAGAAGGGATTGTGCACAGAACAAACCCAGGCTCAACTGTGCTCTAAACTAGTTTAGGAAACCTTGGAGGCTAAGAGGCAGGCATTCTCTCCTAGCCATGGCAAGGCAGCTGATATCAAAGTGTCCATGTGCAAGGTCTACTTGTGCTATTTGTCTCTCCCTTCTTGACTATTACTGCCTGCAGAGGGGTTCTGGTAGGTCCAACACAGCAAGGATCATTCAAGTTAGTTTTCTTCCTGCAGGCTCTCCAGAGCGGTATCAGTACTGATCAGAGACACTAGGCAATGGCCTCTTCCTCAGCAATGCAGTTTGTACAGTGTCTGAGGTGACTGTTCTACAGACAAGGAAGACCACTTGGAAAGCTAAAGATCCATTACTTCCATCTGACCAGAGTGATTCAGGAAGAGGAAGATGGAACAACAAACATTGGTCTTCACTGCCACCGGTCATTCCCATTTCTGAGAGGACAAAAGAACTGAGGAGTGCTGCCACCTCTCTTCGCAATTTGGTTATATGTTCTCAAAGACAACTTCACCTGGATGGTCTGACAGACAGATACAGGACTCAATCCAAGAAAATACACTAACATCTCCAGGCAAGTTTGAAAACAAAAAAGTCCTCAAGCATGGCAGACTAATGCCAAGGAATTTCTGCTGAGCTACAGGTTTGCCCAGGGAACATTTAGAAGCCAGAAGTACATATATATTAATGCAGGGTTTACATGGGTCCTGTAAACCCACTATTTAGACCCAATTTTAGAGCCCCCCCCAAAAGATTCTTTCTGTGGTGTTTACAATAATGGTTTGTTATAAAGCTAGTGACTGCTGTCATGTTACATTGGTGCTCGTAGTGATCCTTAGAACTCCAAACATCAGAACAGACTTAAAGAGCAGCACATGGCATCTCCAACCACTTCACGGTGCCTTTAAACTCTCCTGAGGGCAGTTAAGAATCAGTTATAAAGATGTCACTACTGAAAAGTAACTATTGCATTTCTTAGAGTTTAACAGTAAACAACATTGCCAATATATTATTGCACACAATAAAGGTTTTTGGAACTACAAAGATAAGGAACAGGTAATCTAGAAGACCCAGAATAATGATCCCAAAGCCATTCCAGTTGCTGCTCCAGCAAGCATGCCCAGGGCAAGGTCTCCATCACTGTCACGGTAGCGCTCTCGAATGATGACATGGTTTGCAGGGGGTTGACCATAAGGTCCTAGATAACAAGAGATTGTTAGGAGCAGGGTAAAAGAAATGTATATGTTAATACAATTGCAATTTCAAAACATGCCTGCACTTTTAATCCTATCCTAAGGCTTCACTAACTTAGATGAAGAAAGCTTTAAAAGCTTCAGACTGATGTACATCCCTTATAGCCAAAAATAGAAAAGGCAAAGGAAATAACCAGAAAAATCTCAAATGGGAAAAAAATTCTCCCTCAAAACTGAAAAAAAATCTGTATAAAGATTTTTGTTTACACAGTCAGATCATAAACAATTAGGCTATTTTAAGTTACTCTTCTGATTTATATTACCCATACTACTCTAAAGCCCCAGTAGGGGGCTTCTGTAGGACTGAAGCTCTCTATGCAAAGCTAATCCTAAATTAAGATGAGTAAGCTTAAAAGCACACCCTAAAATTTTACTCTCTTTCCACTTTTATTGTGATTGAAAGCTACACAAACTGAAACAGAGTAACAGAAGTCTCCACAAGGCTGAACATAGGGCCTTACAGCAATTCCAGCATGTAGGGAAGGAACCAGTTAAAATGTGCTTTAGGAGTTGAACCTTTGAAACTTGCATTTAATTCTGAGGTCATAGCGGAACATCAGCATTGAAATAAAGCTCCATCTATGCCCAGCATGGAGCACGGAATCAGTCTTGTTCTGGCTGCTCTACCTTTCTTTATAAAATATGCTGACTACTGCAGTTAAGAGAGCTGTGTGCTTCAAAAACAGTTTATTAAGTAATTTAAATATGCTGGGATCACACTGGGAAATTTCACTGCAGTCGCTTTGTTGTGAAAGGGTAAGAGGACTTGCTTCCAGTTGCAAGTCAGGTTTTTTCTGTCACTTTGTTGTCCAGGACTGGTGGGTGGTAAAGGATGGTGTTTGGTAGAATTAATGACAGTAAGACTCACTCAAATAACTTCAATAGGGAGGTGAAGGGTTTGGTTGCTACTGATTACCTTGGTATGGATACTGATAGGGAACAGCATAAGCTTGTCCGTTGGAGGCATAGAAGACTTGAGGACCGGCAGGGGGATATGGACCATTATACTGATCGTAGCCATAGCCATAAACCTGATAAAAACAAAGATGTCCATTACAAAAGGATTCTTTGCTGTGTATCTGATTATGCACTTTGTTGAATTCTCCCTCATCTCTAATGCACTTAAAGTTTCACTCAAATATCTAGTCTGTACTGATACTGCCTATTTATTCCCTTGAAAGGATACAGAACAGCTGCCTGAAAAAAATGTAGCAGTCCTGAGTAGCTTTCACTCTCCAGCCTTCCTGGATGGTGAATGGCAGAGACAGGGCCTGGATAATCAGGCAGCTTTACCCGCTTCTCTGCCCTCATGCCAACAGCAGCTCTCTGGGAGAGCTCAGAAGTGCCAGACACGTAGTAGCTGATCCCAAGAATCTCCACCCTACTTTCCTTTAGCACATTGCAAGTAAATGTCAGATTCAGGACAAATACTCTGTAGCCATGTGTTTTAGAAGCAACTTTGTTCTCCAGAAAAGGAGGCCTGCTACTAGCCCTACAGCTCCCAGTAGCACAGCTAGTTTTTAACAACTATTTCTAAGAGCAAGGGGCTGGAACAGAGCACCTACAGTGCAACAATACTACCCCATACATTTGTGTATCACTGCATGTCAGTCAGAACATCCAGAAATCCCTAATGTATAATTGTTCAGCCACAGTGTTGCTCCTTCTCCTCTGCAAAAGAACTATGCATCAGGAGCTGGGAGTCACTCTGTTGCTACAACACTGTGGATACAAGAAAATCCTTGTGTTACAAGTGACAGCTCCAGTCATTAAATCCTATTTTTAAAACTCCTGATTTTATATCTGTCCAGTGCTTACACTATGTGAAAGTATAGTCACACCTCCTTTTGTTAAAAGCTGTATAGCAAATATTTTCCAAGATTATACAAATAATTTCTGCCCTGTCTCTTAAGAAGGTTTACTTTCCACATTCACTGAGCAGCCATTTCTTTATATACCTCCCAACCAAATCTGCCTCCTCCCTTTCAAAGAAAATTCATCTCAAATAGGAGTGACTAGATTGGTGACTAGTGAATAGATTGGTAGTGCCTTAGTCTAACTCCCTTTGTACAAATCTTAAAGCTGGAAACACAGCACTTCGGGAGTACAGTTTGAGTGCCTGAAGCATGGCTGCTTCTGCTACCTCACTTATTTTAATGCCTCCTGACTGCAACTCTTACCTCAGGTGATGGTGTAGCATAAGCTGTATAGGGTGGAGGGGATGAGGAAATGGCTGTCTCATCATACATCACGTCAGATCCCACGTAGCCCTAAACACCATGGAAAGGTAGCAGTTATCACCTCTTCCTACAGCCAGCCAGTTAGAGTAGTGCAAGGATTAAAATTTAATGACCCTAAAGAAAGTCTACTCTTTAGACATCCAGCTACTACCATTATGAAGTTTAGGTACTTACTAGATACTAGGTACACTTACTGTGTTTGTTCTGGCATCCTGGAGAGCAATCTTCCATGCCCTGAAAAAAACCCCACGTTGTTTAGTGGAACACTAGTAAAAATTAATGCCACTTTTTTTAAATGCGGTATGAAAAAAGCACAGTTAGCTATGCAGAGTTGTGTACTATTTGAAGAATGGGAAAAATTTAAAAAATCAGTTCAGCAAGTACTGCGTTAATATATTAATAAGATTCTTTTGCTCCTCCTCCCTCTTAACTATTTTCAGTGATATAACTTGTAGTTAGTTTGCATGAGCTAAACAACTTCTGAAGAGCTGTGGTTTTTGTCACCTAAAGCCTGCTTTTACTTGCTTGAAAACTTCCTTAAAATGTGTCCCTGAAAGTCTGAAGGAAGGGAAATAATTAAGGAGAGACAGAAAAAGAAACATAAAAAAAGAAAAAGGGACCAAACTCAATATTTTCTGGCACACTTACAGGCAGTCATCTGCACTCTCTGCACAGAGGTTGACTGTCTTCCCATCACGGCAAACAATCTGCAGTAAACAGTCTCTTTGCTTCCCCTCTGGAGGCTGGAAATCTGAGCCAGAAAAAATAGACAAGATATGAAATGCCAGTTGCAGCTGTCTTCCATGGTGTCAAAACAAATTACAGAAGGAAATAACCAGCACGTTTCTTAGACATGTTTACTTCTTCAGTAGTGTTGTACGTGGTATGGTGGGCAGGCACTGAAGTTGTAAAGCATCTCTGAATACACATATCCTGAAGCTTTCCTTATTACCTCGACATTCGTTGCCCACTCTGAGATTGATGCAGTGGATTCGCATGTGGATTTTATCTTCTAAATCGTGGCGGTTTTGATCATCATAGAATATTAAGCGGCCATCAGACCACAGGTCAAACCAGTTCTTCTTCCAGCGCCGTAGAATAGTACCTTAAAAATCAGACAGTCACTTTTGAGGGCACATATTAGGAAGTACTTGTGTCCTACAGTTAAAAAAATAAAACAGGCAGTCCTTCACAGTGGCCCCAGACAGTGTGAGGTGCCAAGCAAAATCCTGTTCTACATCATCTCCAGTTCAGAACATTGCAGAATTGGGTTCTGTATTTTATCTAGTACTCAAAGTCACAACTGAGTTTATTTTAAGTGTATAACCTGGCATTTTAGTTCTAAGTTGCTGCAACAACAGAGAGCATGACTAATCTAAGACATTAAGATATCAGGTGAAGTTTCCAAGACTCCACTTATACAGCACTAATTACAGAACAGCATCTGAATGCCAGTTGGACACCTCAGATACAGTGTATCCTGTTTCACACTGGTATACCCAAGGCTCACATGGAGATGCTGTCATGACAGGTCATTTTTTGAAATGTCATAAAGGTTAAAAAAACCCACAACAAAAAATAATCATGACAATAACAAGGAGGTGAAAAGCCCATGACTTACTTTGCCGGAGCAGCCATCCACTCTTCACAAATGCCATTGTCGCTTTGTCTATTGGACAGAAGAGGAAGGTGAGGGGGAGAGAAGCAGTCTTGAGTATTTCACAATGATACATGTACAATGATCTTGGTATAATATCATGATAGCTGTATATACCCAGCTAGTATTGCAGAGACAGCAGATCTCACCTGGAGATATTCAGTAAGGTACAACTAGTATTCTAGGACCTAACAAATGGAACAAATAAGCAATTGTAGCAATCCAACATGACTATCAGAGAGTTAAACTTTTAAGTTTAAGTGGAAGATGCACAAGCTTACAGTTACCATGCTTGCAACTCTGGAGCAATTGCTTCCTGACTCACCACCAGTTCCTTTCAAAGTTTTTCACCTGACCTACTAAGCACCCTCACTTCTTCCCTATGTTCCTTTTTCCTGTACTTCCTCTTCTGTTTTTTGTATTGACTGGCTCAAACTCCAGCCAAAACAGAAGCTGAGACAGTTTCATCTTAAACAGAAAGGATAAAGCTGGTTTTGTGCTTTGTATTTCTCCCAAATTGTCTTTAGCTCCCTCTAAGAAGAATTGAAATAAGTAAAAGTTAAGCCCATATAGTGAGATTCTTTTTTCTCCTTGACTTTTAAATGAAGCTTGAAATGGCATGGGAAGGACCTTGCATTCAATTCAAGTTTTCACACATGACATTAAGCACTCGGCCAGTTCACTCTGGTTTACGAGCTTGCAAAAGACAATAAATCAATTATAGGATATATTGGAAGATGAGTTACTTTATAGCTTAATAGTGTTCTGACTATTGTTCTAAAACGGATTAATAAAAAAACAACTATCTGGATGCAAGTGAACTAGAAAAGCAAGAACAGAAAGAAGCATTTTAAGCCTCCCTTGAGAAGGCTGCCTTTTTTAAAAATTATTTTGGGGGCTCATAAGCCAATATAGGAGACAGATATTTAAACCTACCTGATAACATTATACTTGTAGCAGCATAAGGGGGGGAAAGGTGGCATAGTAGATTTGATAGACAGAGGAACTCCTCCCAGACAAGCAGTGTGTTTAAAGCTGGGAGAAGAGGGAGGAAGAGTTTTGTTGTCTTCTAGTAAAATAAAGTTAGTATGCATCTACTTATTTTCTGATAGATGTACATATACCATCTATTGGACATTGCTTGTAGCTGTGTCCTCTTCACAGTACTGGGCAAATACTGTAACACCCAAGTAAAGACTATAGCCAGCAGCATTTCCTATTGAAGGAATGGCATATCCAGCAGAGGGTGGGCTGTGATGGCAAGAACCACCTGGGGTAAAGTTTAAATTTCAAGATAAACCTCTTACTCTTGGCTTTTGTACCAGCTTGCTGAGAAAACATTTAGCTGATAGCACAGTGAAAGGGAGTATCAGACTCCTGTCCTGCTTTACCATGGTCACCCAGTCCCACTCTGAGGTCTAAGCATGATGGTGTCACCTTATCTACGGAGAGCTTCAGAAATAGAGGCAAATTTATTCTTCTAAAGTAACAAAGCAGTATAAAGGACCTGAGCTTTTTTCTCCCACCACCAGAGAGATGCTCATCTCTCCCTAGATTCTCCTTTACAAGGAAATAGTCTTCTTGGTCTTTGTTTTTAGAGGAATGGGTCTCTCCAGTGGTGTTTCTATATCTTTCAGTTTGCCCACTAAGCTGAAATTGCTATTTATTTCCAGAGGCCTTTTCTAAGAGCAAGTAAAGAACTTGTATGAACTTCCAGTCTGTTGCAAGGGCTAGATTAGGCCATGGAATGTTTGTTGCTGCCTTTAAACGTACCCTGTTACACAACAGCATAATTAGATTTAACTTACACACATAAAAGGGAGGAAATGAAGAAAACATGTATCTTGGTAAATAAGTTTTGCCTGTGATTACAGGGTCACAATCAAAATCTGACATTACAGAATGTCTCAACAGCTATCTAGGGCTACATCAGCAAGAAGCTTCAGCAGGTGTATGGCACCTTGTGTTATCTCAGATGCAATGACTGCATTTTCCCAACACAGCATTTAAGTGCCCAAAACTTTTAGCTCTGGATACAGAACAAGGAATCACACAGAACAATTTGTTAGCAAAACCAGTTAGATATTCTCTCTTCTTTTTTAAGCACAAGCGCTCACTTGAAGTCCTATACAACATTCACAATCAATCCACATTATGTTTAAGAGAGTACTTGCAGTGCTAGAAGGTAGCCTGACAATATCATTTGCAGCTGAGTATTATTTGCTTGTTTAGTTCAGTGCAACCAAACATGGAAAATGGGATTTACATAAAGAGAAAACAGTTAATTTATCCCCAACCTCAATAGAAATTGAAATCTAAAAAGCAGTAGCTGAATACAAGCTAAGGCTAATTGCAGTAAAGGGATGGGGCTATTCCTTCCTGCTCCCTGGAATAGCAGTTTTCCTTTTTTGCATGGAATATATAATATCAAATAATATGCAAATATAATAGCCAGCAGTCTATTCCAGTACACTTAAGAGTTCTCAACCCCAGCTGGCTGGTAGGAAAAGCAAACTTCAAACCAGTTCATGTTTCTACCTGTAGCTTATAATTCCTAGAGGAATTTTGATTAATGCAGTCAAACTAGCAGTGGACCTGATTCTGCAGCCCGTGTAGATGGAAGGGACATGGTCACACAGACCAAACTACTGAGCTGAGTCCAGGGTGACCAGCTGTACCAATGACACCTCACCAATATTTTATTCCCAGGACTTTGGGTAGAGAACTGCACAAAGCTCAGAGGACTGTTCAAATGTAACCCCATTTGCTTCCCTCCCCCTCCCTCCCCCTTCCCCCACACACTTCAAAAAGGTGAATTTTCTATTTTTGGAATTTCCTGACTCAGCGACTGGCTACATGCAGGCCTTTTTCTTACTGGCCAGTGCTTAGTTCTACTGAGAGCTGTGGCTCTCTGTTCAAAACCTGCCCACAGGTGAGGGAGTCAGTGTTCAGAAAAAGGCTCTTTGAAGCAAAATCCCACCTCTGCCTGCCCCACCGGGGACGGCTGCACCCGACAGGCCTCCCGGGCCGCGCTGGCCCCGAGCCCGGGCTCGCTGCCTCGGGCCGCGTCACGGCGGCAGG